AGCGCCGCGCCGCGCCGCGCTCGGACAGCTCCGCATCGCCCCGCCGGCCTGCCCCCAGCCCGGCCCTGCCGCGCGGGGACCCTGCCTTTGCGGGGCACTGGGGGACTGCTGCAGCCCCTGGCTCAGGTGCTGGTCCAGCAGGTACCGCACGCATGAAGTTCTCTACACGCCCCACAAAACCAAGAAGATGGAGCTGTCCGGGCAGAGGCGGTGCGACCTCTCTTTTTTTTAAAGAAGAGATGATCCACGAGGGAGAGTGTCCATGTGAACGCTCCCGTTGCAGGGAAAGCTTCGTTTAGGCACTGGGGTCAAGTCACAGCAATACCCCAAGTCCGAGGTGGCAGGCAGCATTAGTTTGGTGCTTGCAGGGATGTGGTTTTGATATGCAAATGTATGGAGCTACTATTAAACGCTTTCCAGGCGAGATTTTAATCAGGCAAAGATTTGCATGTATATGAGTTTATATCAATAGCCCAATTTAATAAAGGCACATGTGCATACAGTTCTTTTCTTGGCAGCAGACCTGTTCGATATGGCAATGCAAAGCTGTAATTCTTTAAAACACATGCTTGTCAACTTCCATTGCATTAATGCAAATTATTTAAGGAACACAGGTTCAGTAGGAGACAGGGAAGAATGAATCTCTCAGAAGCCTTTGCTGTCAGAAAGTTCTCAGGTACATCTAAAAGATGTTCTCAGGTACATCTTACTTTTTCATATCTGTGAAGAACAGATTCCAAGATCAGTCTACTGACACAACTTCTGCTTAATTGTGCCATGAGAACAGGTATATCTAATCTAGAATTTAAACTCTTATAAATAAAAGTAGACTGGAGAACACTGAGTATTTTTAGCTTATATTTTTTCCTATGCACCCTGTTCCATTTTTTCCTTCACCATAAAAACCTAAGGAGTAGTGGAAATGGGTATAATGGGCCTTAAGACCATAATAATTTTTTCTGACTGTGAAGATACTTCCCAAGAAAATGTAATTTTGGCACGAAACTCTTAATGTTATCTGCAGAATTGAATACACGAGTACCTTTTCCTTTAGCATGTGGTCCTGTCTACATCTGCTGCAATACCACACTTTTGAAAATTGATTCCCACTTCAGAGCTTGAGCTGAGACAGAGGAATGGAGATGCGAGCGGAAAATCAATGTAGATTTCCAAACCCAAAATGAGTGAAAGCCTCCCAAGCTCCTGACAAGTGCTTCTCTCTGATTCAGGATATGTCCCTTCTTAAAATATCGAAGCAGTTGTCCCTTCTTGAAATAGCAACCAGGCACAGACAACTCACTGCAGACATGCTCTTCAAAAATAGCCAAACCCCTCATTTCCATGGTGTTTCAGGGAATTTCCTCACACAATCTGATGCATGCAAGATACAAATCTCATCATTTGTATGTACTATTTTCTATGAATTTATGCCAGAGTTTCTCTTTATAAATGTCTTTGCTTGTACTTTACTTACAGAACAAGCCCAAACAACCTAGTTTTGAACATAATAAAATAGTATAATTATATACAGCCTATTTTATTTTGTTTAATAGAATTATGTGAGATACTGACTCTTGTATCCTGCAGAAATGGTAAATAAAGCAGGAATTTCTAAAGACAGGAATTATTCAATAAATATAAATGTTAAATTAAACACCATAGACACAAAGCAGCATTAACACAGAGTCATTCATTTATGCTGTAGCTTCCAGATAATTTACCATGATTACCTCAGGTACATCTTCAGCTTTACTGACAACAGAAACATACAAGAAATACATAAAACCAAGCCACAAGTACTTCACCTTTATCTTTTGAAGATTTATTCAAATAATCAAAATCAAATCACATGACAACTTAAAATAATTGCATTGCTAGCCCAGTTTTGCATTTTGTATTAAAAAAAAAAAAGATCTTTAAGAGAATGAAAACAGTATTTCTTAAACTTTTATCAAAAAGTAAGAATCATATATCATATAGATATATCATATCATATAGAATGCTACAGCCAGGATGCTTTTCTCTGAAGATTTGCTGTTCATTGGAGGCAAAGAAATATAATTTCATCTTTTTGAGTAAGAAATGTTTCCTTTCCAACTTGAAGATCCAACTTAGTACATGATATAATAATTTTCTCTTCCTAAATCACCTGGATGTGCTGAAAATTAGAAAAGAAACATGGAAATGTTTTGACTGTAGGAATTGTAAATCATTTGTTTCTCCCTTCATTGAACAAAAAAGTCTTCTCTATTTTTACTTGCTGAACCTGATGTATTTTATAGATATCCAGCCTTATTTTACATCAAATAAACCCAACAAGAGGAAGCACATATTGGGGTTCATCATAGGATGGCAAAGGTCTGGCAGAAGGGCATATCCCCTTTGAATACATCATTCACACTTCTCACACTTTGTTTTGAAAATGAATAGAAGGGATTACAGCTGACACACAGTCTCAGCCTCTCTCCTGATGGGCACTGCTTTTTCATGCTGAAATTCTGGCTTTCTTAAAGGCAGCAGAAGTTTTGACACTGAATTCAAGCAGGGTCATGTTTTTGCTCTCATTTTTTGATCATTTTTGTTAATGATTTCTCTTGATCTCTGTATCCTGGTTTATACAGACCACTCATATGAACACTTACCATTCCTACAAGTCAAGTAGTTAACTATGTCCTATTTTTTCTCCCTTTTTAACAAACCAAAGTGTTTGATTTGCTCTCTGCCAACAGAGCTAGGAATAGCATACCCTCAGTCTCTTCGTGCCCTGATTTGCAGTATATTGTATGTTGTGAAGGTGTGGAATTGGATTAAAAGCTACAGCACACTGCTCTGCGGATGAATCCACTGCAGGTGTGCTGCTTAATAGGATTTTAATTTGGTAACAAGTGAAAAAAATGCAGAAACCTAGAATGAGATTTTCTAGATGAAAAAAAAATGCTATTCATGCTGAGAGAAAGCAACTGCAAGCTCCGTGATAAGGAATAAGGACTGGCCAATTTTCTCTGAACTGCACTTTTATAGATTATGGCTTGTTCAGTGCATCTCTGTTACTGCCACTGGTTTCATCAGTTTTGAGTTCATACTATGTGTGTTTGGCTCTATAGCATTTCATCTGCCACACTTCCCTGCTAAGCCAGTGTGTACAAATCTTCTACTATCTTGCCCCCTGCCCTCTATGGTTTTTTTCATATAAAATCAATGTTTTCCTTGGGAGATGCCACCAACCTGGAATGTATTCTGTTTTCCAGAGTATTAACTCTATTTATTAATTCTATGTATTAATTATTTAAACCATATTTAAAGATAAGATTCATAAATGTACTGTGCTGTTCAGAATAAATGGGAAAAGATGGTCTCCCTGCTGAGGAGTCTAATTTATATTCAGCATCAACTAGGAATGGAAGACTAGAAACAGATGGAGAAGGAAGAGGAAGAATAAAGGTGACAACTAAAAGATCAAGAAGGGATCTGCTAAGCCACACATATTGGTGCTGCTGATACCAGGGTAAGGTTGGGAGATTCTTTTCTGATTTGTGTTACCAGTCTTCTCTCATATTTTTCCAGGGTTTTGTAGCAAGACCAAGTGGTTAGCACTAATTTCAATGAGCTGAGTGGGGAGGTGTGATGAACAGATTTTTTTTTTCCTCAGCATAACAGGCTGTAGAGAAGGCATAGAAATGTCTTGTGGAGCAAGATTAAAAACTACGGAGGTTGGGTGATGCTGGCAATGGATGGAGTGGAGGATGAGAACTGATGAAAAGCTCTGGGTTACAGAAAGCTGCCAAGCCTGCCTAAGGTGAAGGAATTAAAAGCAAAAATTATGAAATAAACCTGAGCAATATGTCAGACAGCAGAAATGTGGTCCAGGAAACAGCAGTGTGGCTGATGGATGCTGCTATGGCTGCTGAGGCTTTAGATACCCAAGAGAATGGGCTGTGGCCAAAGGGGGATTAGTCAAGGGCAGGGACAGATGGTTCCTTGGAAGCATGATGATTTTTGGTGGTCAAAAGTCACAGAACAAAAATCCTCATGCAATGGAAATCTTGTCAGAGGAACTACAGAGATGACAATACATACAAAGCAGTGGGTGATCGAGATGCTTTTGGCAACTGTGTTTTTCAGCAACCCATGGCATCAGTGTTGATATACAAAAGAAAGAATCTGCAATAGTCAAGGTGGGAGCACCATCCATCTGAAGAACATGAGTGGGCAGAAGTGCTCACTCACTCACTCACTCTCTCACAGCTCCTGAAGCCCTTTTGAGCTGCAGGTTCAAGTTTTTTGACTCCATCATAAACAGTAAGCGCTTGAACCACAACATAGCAAGTGCTTACTAGAATATCTTTTTCATCCCAGTTATTAGCATCTTGCACATGGACTGGTAGATTCCATCATCTGTTGGGTTATTTGATATTTAAACTTCTACACTTTCTCAAGTCATTCACTGTGTCCCTCCCTCATGCACACCTTCTACCAAGTCCTCATACTCCTCATATCACATTTTACACTCTTCCCCTCTTATTCTGAAGGGGATCATTCTTCATCCCTCACTCTAATCAGCCTTGCTCTGTTCTTGTGATCAGGTACAAAAAATTCCAAATTGGTACATATTTATAAGCACATTACTTCCACAGACCAAACCTGGGTCAAGCCCATGTTTGATGACCCCTGCAAAAAGCACTGCAATGGGCATAGGACATACAAAAGGCAGCACAGAGAAGGGCACAGGAAAAGGGCAGATATTGAATAAAATTTCTAGTGGTTCATTTCCTCATTTCTGACCATCACTGATTTAGAGCTCTCTTGCAAATTGTCAGCACCCAGCACAGTTTGCATTTTGACAGCACAGTTTGCATAAAGGTGATATGGCAGGATGGGTCTTTATTTTACATTTGAAAAATAACAAAAGCTGTCAAACACGCCCATCACATGTATAAATTATTCTTGGTTTGTCCTCTGTGTGCCTGCTTACT